GAGTGGGTTGTAACTCACAGTGACCCTATATAGGAGTTTCCAAGGAGCAGCTGGTGGGTTTGAACTGCTGATCTTTCAGCTGGCAGTCTGGTGCTTATCCTACAACGGCACACCAGGACTCCGTTGGAAACCCTATACTGGGTGCTATGGGTTGGATTTGACTTGGTGCTGGGGGGTCGGTGGGGTAATTATTAGAGACTCAGTTGCTCATACCCACCCAACAAATCCTTGGGGGAAATTGTTCATGATTTTCTCCTGGAATCATTATAGCTTTAGTCCCCTACAGGGCAGCTCTTCTCTGTCATGTGTACTCCTTCCTTATGAATTGAGAATCAGCTTGACAGTATTGATCAGCAACAAAATCTTGATAGCAAAACATTTGTGGTTTTAGCCATTTTTATACTGACATGTACAGTTCACTGACATTAAATACCTTCTCCTTATGTACGACTATCAACCTAGGCATTTCCAGAATTTCCTTATCACCTTAAACCGAAACTCCAGTGTCTCTCTTGTAACAGACATACCAAAAGGGGGTGGCTTTCACAAACAGAAGTTTATTTTCTCACAGTTTAGGGGTCGAGAGGTCTGAATTTAGGGTACTAACTAGCTCGAGGGAAAGATTTTTGTCTCTCCGTTGGTTCTTGGGGAAGGGCCTTGTCTGTCTTCAGTTTCTGCTTCCACGTTCCTTGGAGATCTCTTTGTGTCTTGGCATCAAGCTTCCTCTGGGTCTAGGAGGTTCTCAGGGTCCCTGCTTTCGACTCTTCTGTCTTGGTGGTACGGATGTTCCTCTCCTCCCTGTCGCCTACTTTTCTGTCCATTTTTCTCTTGTAAGATTAAAAGTGGGACTTGAGTCCAGATACACCCCACACGGATCCAAACGCTTTAACAGAACTCACAACATGTCCCAAAGCAGAGGATAATTCCTTTAGATCACACACTTGGAGGACATCCTCCCCAGACTAGGAATCACAATCCTTCCAAATTGACACCTGTTTTTTTGGGGGTGGGGACCAA